AAGAGTGCTGTCATGTGTATCAGCGATCATAAGGTATGATAATTACAAGTATAATCATGTAACCAGTTTTACTAGATTTTATTGAGATCTGATTTCAAAAATTTAACACATACAAAATAATATTAAAAACTTACATCATAGTACTGTATTTACTCTTAAAAGCAAAAGAATATTTCGTATGGAGCCCTAAATGTCTCTCAAAATATCCTGTCATTGATTGATCACTGTTTAAATAACGGGCAGTCTTCTCAAGCTGACGGGCTCACTTTAATGGCAAGTATCGGACAATTTCATGCACGGTGGTTAGGTTTATGACACTCATTCAATTATACTGTTACTATTTGGATTTGCTTTTCTCTTTCTCTCTATTGATGACATTTTGACAATATTTGATAAAAAACTTATGTTAAAAATAGTGCTAATTATTTTTTAGAATGGAACTAAGAAAAATTTAAAACAACCATGTTCTTTATCCTATAAATAATTTTGTGATTTTAGATTTCTGCCAAATGAGTTTTGAGTTTATTTTATATGATGTTGGTTCACTTGAGATGGAAGTACATCGTTAAAAGCCTGTCATTGATCAGTGTTGTCAAGACAAAAAAATTTCCCATTTTATGAGTAAAATTTTATAGAAATTGTTTTTCTCAAAACTGAGATTCTCTCCAAGATTTTCATGTCAGACCTGTGAGAGTCCTCGTTAAATTGCTTTTAACAGTCAAGTTACTTAAATGTTTTGGGTCATGCACAGCAATGGCACAAATGATAGTGATTTAAAACTATTACAATATTACCACAATCATCTATAGTTTTGAAAATTATGAAGTTCTTAAGGATGAAATAATTTATATTATATAATTGAAGCAAAACAACTATAACACAGTAAACTGAATATATATTAATAAAAAAGAACATCTTTTTAACCATAAATAATTCATTAAATCATAAATTATATATATATATATATATATATACTGTTAAATCTAATATATACTAACTACAAAAATGCCCAATTAGTTTCAACTAATCAGTGAATTGGGCAAATAAACACCAGATGACTTTTGATTATAATAAATGCAAAGCAGTGCATGTGGGTTAACTGTAATTCAAATTTTGATAGGAATAACCTTAAAATTGTTATGGAAGAAAAGTATCTTGGTATTTTAGTTGATCAGTATCTTAAACCATCCGGGGTTAGATTCCTACAGGAAAGTGTGTGTGGATTGTACAGGGGTATCCAAAATGAAGATAAAATAGCAAAATTAAAACCATCTAAAAACACTACTCAAAACAACTAACAGTGCAAACAGAAGAATGAAAAATGGAGTTCCTAAAATATAATGAGTGTACGGTGTTCACCCTCTATTCATACAGTGAAGTCATCTAAATAGTGTGTTGTTACTTGAGGTAAGGCAAATAGGATTTTGCATCGTATCTTTAGGAATACTAGTCTTAAAGAAATTATTTCATTGTAAAGGTCACTAGTTAGGCCCCATTTGGAATATTGTATTCAGTCTTGTGCTCCTTACCTTAGAAAGGACACTGAACTTTAAAACAATTTAAGAGAGGGATACTAGGATGATACCTGGTATATAAAGGTCATCATACGAAGACAGTTTGTGATATCGAGAATTATTTTCACTTGAATAAAGTAAAGCTAGAGGGATCTGATGGAGGTGTTTAAGATTGTTAGAGGAACTGACAATGTCAGTGCATCATTTTTTGTATTTAGTGGTGAAAATGGTACGGCTTAAAGAACAAATATAAATTTTGGCAGGGTAGGAGTCAAGTGAAATTCTGAGTGCATACAAAGAGTATGACAAAGTTACATGCTCAATTACATTAGTTAAGTAATATCCCAAATGCTTGGAAATGAAAACAAAATGATTCAGTAAGGGATTTCATTTAATGGCTTTATCTACACCCAATTTTGTTGTAACTATACCTACTGTAAAATTGAACTCAACTCTATTCTAAGATTTGTACTGAAAATTAAATCTATGTATAATAGACATTTCAGTTAAAAACATGTTATCAGGTATACAAGTTTAGATGAGCAAAAACTGCAGGTCCACTTTCAGTTATCATGCAATTCGATAAAACTGACAAGCAACTGCTGATTTTGAGGCATATACCACAATTATTAAGCCTACAAAAGCCTTCCAATATGCAAAGAAACTACACAAAGTGAACTATGGTGTTGTATCTTATAACAGAATTTACTTTCAAAGATTTTGCAATGCAATTGATCATTCATATGCAATTCATAAACGTAACATACTTGCTCCGTTCTCCTCCATATGATGCAATATGATTGTACCAACGCAGAGCATGAGGAAAGGAAGCTGCTGGAGGATTCTTCAAAGTGTCAAACACCACAGTATCAGCTTGAGAAGGCTGATATCTATTATATAGAAAAAAAATGTAATTAATGAAGCTCATAGAACTTTAAAAAATATATGTACAATAAATTGAAAAAGACTTCTCTGCTTTAATTTTTCTTTACTTTCATTTTTTAAAAACTTACTCATTTTACAAAATGTGGCAGCATAATATGACAGATAAACAAACCTCACCAGAATGGTTCTGGTTCTCAAGTTAAAAAAACTAATAAATGAAGGTGAATAGGCTTAGTCCATTGGACCAACCCCATATCAGAGAAGAAACACTGACTATAATTCCAAATTTACTAAGTGTATCTACAAGAAATGTAGCAAGCTTTCAGTAAAATGTACAAGTCTGTTGTACACAAAAGATGAATTACAAAGATATTTGTACTCAAGATACGTCTGGGAAATGACTTAAGTCTAACTTGGACTCTGACTAGTTGGAATGCAAGGTGATATTCATGTGAAGAATACAGATACTATTGTCCATCTTATAATTTGCATATTATATTTACATAGCCTCCAGAACCTCTGAAATGTGCATCTGTTTCTTTCAGTTTCACTGTATACTGTATTTGGTATATATTCTTCTCTACCATGAATGGTCACTAAATCAGTAATGTAGAGTAAAATGAATAGCTGATAACCCTGACATCAAATATATATCTTGAATGGCACTCTGTAAATGGTAATGGATTGTGCATTTTGACCCCCAGACATACAAATAAGGATAAACAGAACTGACTATTATTTCATTTATTTACCACAGTTAAGCACCCAGTTGACTTTAGGGTTTTTATCAACAATCACATTTAAATCCTCCTCCTTTTTTCCTACTGCAACAATGTTCATTTCATAAAAGACATCCTTTCCAATATCCATACTCAAATGCATTACTTTACACTCCTCAATTTTACATTATGGACCATTACCATGACTGTAAATATATGTAAGAAAAACATTCTCAACATTTCAGTGAACTCAGAAGAATTATTGTCCAAGAAATTATACCACTAACAAAAATAACAAAAGCTCCAAAACACATTTTGGCATTAAGTTTATTTTCAATACACTTAATTCTTCCCGTAATGCCATAAGCAAAAAACTTGCAAACTAATGTGTTGAATGACATCTTGCTCTAAAACCATACTCAAATCATAATTTAAAGTGTAACTTTCCAATAATTTTGACAACAGAATTAAATGCCTTGCTAACATTAGAAGCCAACTTCATTTTCTTATAGTTTCCAAATCTTCTCTTGATCCTTTTTTCAAAATGGAGAAAAAATTCAGTCTTAAAATCATTAAGAAGGTCCCAAGTGTCAAGAGACTTTTAAAAGATAATGGTTAAACCTCCACAAATTCTTTGTTAAGGTTCCTGAAGTTTTAAGATAAATCTCTTCAGAATTTGAAGCTTTATTTTGTAAATTAGTAACTTCAACATAAAAGGAATCTTAGAAATAATAGTTTTTAAATTTAAAGAAATTAGTCAGTTTGGAAAACTCTTCCCAAGTCTTATCATATTAAGTAGTAGCAAACCTGTAAGCCTATGGCCCACATTTACTGGGTTGGTATAATACAAATTTAATGCTTAAACTACTATTTTGCACTTTTTCAGTTTAATGATCATTGCTGCTTATAATGCAAGTTTAATTTCTTTAACCAAGTTACAAAGAGTAATTAGTAGGCCTACTTATTTATGTGCTCTAATGTAAATCAATGCCAAATTTGGGATCCCCATAAAAGTGTTTGCAAAAAATACCCAGGTTCCCCAAGAGATTGGATGAAAAGTTTTACTTTTGTGCAAATCTTGTAGCTGAGACAATTCAATTGGCCCCAGGTAGGAGTTGGTGAGTCCAGCACTATAGGAGAAGGGTTTTTTGGGAAATGCCCAGGTTCCCCAAAAATTTTACCTTTGTGCAGACCTCAGGAATGAGACAACTTGTTTGGTACCATTTAGAAGTCAGTGCCACCAGCAGTTTAGGAGTTACATGACACACAGACACTGAATCTTATCATATAGATATTTCAGCATTTGAACCACATTCCTTTCTATTACAAGATTTAAAATCTTGCCATACTAATCTGTTACCTTTTTTCTGAGGGTGTTATCTGGATGATGGCAAAGATGTAAACTTCATGTTATTAAATTTTTAACAAGCATTTGAAAATGTGCCACACTAAAATTATCTAAGAAAATCATATCAATAGGGATTGTGTAAAAACTAGTTAATTAGAGTGCAACAGTAGTCACTGCTTGGGCTTTTGTTTTTTCATATTTCCATTAATAACATTTATAAGGCATAATTAGAAAATAAATAAATTTGCTGATGGTATTGTCTTTTAACTTCTTCAGATTAGCATAATGTAGTTCTTCACACACAGACAGAATAAAAAATGCATTTGAAAGTCTGTGAAGTAACTTTCTAGTTACAGCAGCATATTCAGGAATATACTGTGGTGACAACTGATTATTGAAATTAATATTAAATATTCGAAAGATTTGTACTTTATTTTACTTGTACCACAATTTCATCTTGTTATTCATATAAAATTTTAGTACAAAGACTAATCTTGTTACTTCATCAATTTAAAATATCTTCTATTTTAAGAAGAAATTATTTTTGCAGGCCTATCATACATTTCAATTGAATTAAATTAATACAAATGGGTGAGCATAAAGAAAGTATTAAAAACGTTACAGTTGATAGACAGTTAAACTTAATCTTGCTTAATTTAAGCTCTAGCAGGAGTGACTTAGAACTATTATATAGTTTTAATAATTTGATTTTACTGATGCCATGTAGTGAAAACTGCCTGATGTTACTAATTCTACTAAAAAACAAGTAACAACTAGCCTGACTCATTTAATGATTACTATGATGTGAAATAAGACTGTCAACAGATAACTTCAAAAGATGGAAAACAGCATTTAAATAAATTTCATATTTACCTTGGTTTGTTACTCTATTCAACTAAATTCAGTTGTAAGCATGTCCTAGTTTTATCACACCTGTTATTTTCTCTCGGATAATCTCGACCATGGCATTGCATGTCAGTGACTTGCATTTCGGATCATCCTGCAGACCATCTGGAGGACCTTTGAGAATCACTGATATAAATAGACCCTACTATTAGCTTTACTAGGTATTGGCAATGAAGCACTGCTTTGAAGACTTCAGTGACTTATCTACCCCTATTATAATATTCTCTTTTACCGTCATGCTATTTTTTAATTTTCCTGTGAATAACATCAAACATCCAAGTTATTCACCAGCAGGTTTAATGATAAAAGGTGGTCAGTGGGGTCTTTTTCCCTGCTAAAGTGGTCCGCAGAAGAAAAGTTAGAGAACCACTAATTTATACTTAGAAGTTAAGAGTTAGACATATTGATTACGAGGCAAAAGATGTGATTGACTTAAGCCTAAAGAATGAGCTATCAGCAGTAGTGGAAACCAGCACTATACTATTTACAGGAATTTAATAGAAGTAATACAGGATGGGTTTAGATTTGTACTTTTCTCAAGAGTAGATGTTCAAGAACAGTCTTAAAAACTTTAAGGGTTAAATGGTTCATTGTTGTCAATACATTACTTTAATATGAGCATAAAAACCTTTGCTCAGATTAGTCCACTGCAACTTTTATTACAAATACGTCTACTGTCTAGGAAACTGCAGTGCAGAGGCAATATGTAAAATCCATCATATTCAATTCATAGCCTACAATTTTAAGTTTATTTTTATTAACCATTAATCATTTAATGGCATTATTAAATTTCAAATGACGTTAAACTAATATTACATACGACTTACTCCGGCGTCTTAACTTTAAAAGCGATTAAAATTGTAAAGCGGCCAAACTGTTTTTCTACAACTCACAAGTTATGAATAACGTGTTAGTGTTACTATTAGTATTAACTTAATCATTAGTTAATAATTAATCATGGGTTACTCGGGTTAGGGTTCGTAATTATATTACTTTAACTAAATAAATACAAACCCTTCAATGTAACTGCGATCACACAAATAATCATTTAGTGCTTTTACACCAGATTCGCTTTTTAGATCACCAAAACCCATTTTATTTTTTTATTAAAAAAATAAACTCTTTCTAACTTTATAAGACACGTGTTCACCCAAAATGCTCTGGCCACCAAAAAGAACTAGATCCCCCTACATTTTATCGAAAACATATTACTATAACGTACAATTTTCCATACAAAAAAAATATATATGTAATATAATTTTCTTTACTGAAACAAGACAAAAGTAAATAAAAACTAAAAGTATAAAATTCGAAGTTATATCCCCGAAAAAGGGACAGCACAGATAGCATAAGTTCTATTATAATTGGTTGATAGAAAACAAATACAAGTAAACTGTTTATATTTGTTTATCGTCTAATTGTTGGATATACAAAAACTATTTAGTGTAAAAGTTGTTATTTAGTGATCTAATGTCTAATGATTATTTAGTTTTCATAACAAGTGTTACAGTTGATTATGTTAAAGGCAATAGTTATAACAAATTTCGTTGCATAACTCGGTAGAAGTTGTATGTTGTGTGTAGGTCAGTTGTTGTAAATTGACGCCCCATATATATATGCGACCAAGTAAGCGCAGGTTAAGTCAAAAAACGTCAAGTTAGTGAAATAGAAGTTAGACTGCATGGTTGTTAGTTTAGCCATAACGGGCAATATTTCAAATGAGTTTTTACAGTGGTATTGTAATAACAGAGATAAAGGAAAATAATTTGTCTTGTCCAAGGGTGTTCTAAGGTAATTGAACAATTATTTGAAGTTTCTGTGTACAACTGTGAAAACCCCCAGGGTAATGTAAGTGAATTTATCGCAGATTGTATAGTAAAAAACAGAGTAGAGAAAAATAATTTGTCTTGTCAATTGGGTTTTTAAATAACACAGGCCTACGAATTTAAACTTCATAAAAGTTGTTTTGGTTTTAATAACGGATTTTCCATAATTTAGCAATGCAAATTTCGAAAA